CGTCGCTGATTTGAAACCTTTAGAGGTAAAGTATAATGAAGAAGATTTTGCTTTAATCCTTCTGTGTTCGCTACCTACTTCGTTTATTTCATTTAGAGATATGATCTTGTATAGTCTGACGCTATCACCATTAAAGATGCATATGATATCTTGTTTTCAAAAGAGAAGATAAAGCATCTGATTGGATTGATGCCAGAGATGGAGAATGCCTTGTTGTTCAGGTGATCAGAGAAATGGTAAGTCGATGTCAAATTTCAATAATCTGGTTTGTTATTATTACAAGAATAAATGGCAAATTAAGAAGGATTACGACAAATTGCAAAACAAAATTAATTTAACTGGAAATTATGGAAATCAATCAAATACTTCAGAGGAGACCAACATAACCTAGAACTATTTGAGTGATGGAGATATTTTGATGATTTCCGAAATGGAATCCAAACTGACGAAGAGTGGATTTTGGATACAGCTTGTGCTTTCCATATGTGACACAATCAGGATTTGTTTGAAACATATGAAACGATGACATAAGGTATCGTTGTTGTGTGTAACAACGAACCTTATCAGGTAGCTAGTATTGGTAGAGTCAGTTCGAAATGGTGGATGGAACACGTAAAACACTCGATCACATTCAACATATTCCAGACTTGAAGAAGAATATCATTTCCTTGAATACTCTTGATTGAAAAGAGTACACATTCTCTGAAGGAGGTAGAGTCTTAATGGTTTAAAAGGTTATACATCTTGCAAAGTCGGGAAGAATTTGTGAAGAAAAGTAAGTACAAATTTAATACCGTGGTGGAGATTCAGTTTGGTACCGTACATTTGGGATTTGGTTTGGGGTTCATATTGAAGAATACTATTCAGCCGAGTTTGAAAGTATAAGTAATTTCGCTTTGGCACCATTATCTACGGTTCTATCGTATTCAACTGATAGGAATATCCCCATTGGAGATGAGTACGTGGATGCTAATTATGTTGCACATGCTTTTAGCGTTTTTTGAAGGTGTTGAGACTAGTCGGGGGCCTTCAATGAAAGCATGGGGATTTGATTATGCTACAAGGTGTGTTTCGACATTATTTGATATTTTCTAATTCTTTGTGAATTTTAGAGAATCCAGTATTTAGGTTCATGTATCCGTATTGAAAACCGTGGAAGATGAGTATTTTTGTGTTGGAGAAAGTTTGGTTCTTGTTGAAGAGTCCAGATTTTTCGTTATGGTCGGATATATTTTTCCAGATGGATAAATATTGGAGTTTCGTTTGTTGCATCGGAATTTGTGTTAAAGTGGAGATTGTTGATTTTTTTTTTTTTTATCTAAATTAGGTTGGAATTTTTTAGAAAATATTTTTTTCTTCTTTACACGTGTTTTTATTGAAAAAATATTATTTCCTTTATTTCATGTGATTTTGTTTCTATCTCTGTGGTATTTCTAGGATTTAGCATCCATCCTTATAAATACTAGGCTCTTTTTATAAGTTTTGTATTACTAAAATATAGAATAATTGTGTAAACATAATTATTGTATTTGTTTTCTCCATATTAATTAATTGAATAAAATATTCCGTTCTTCTGCCAATTAATTCTTTGACTTTTATCTTATTATTTGTTTGCGATCATATACTTCATAACATGTCATATAGTTTACATTGATCCGTTTTATTTCCCAACAAATAATTATATCAAAAATTTGTCACGCAGCCCCCTGAATTCATTAAATGCTTAAACGTATTTTACGAACTATAAGATAGAATAATAACTTTGTAATTTATTTATTTTAGAGAGCATATGTAGTAATTTCCTCAAAACATTTGAAAGTAGTGATCAATGGAGATTGAAATCGTTTAGGCTTGGCCCAAATGGAATAGGTACTGGGCTTTAGAAAATACTGACATGCTAAGCGTAAACTTACAAGAGGTACTTACAAAAATACCCTTAAAATTAGGGATGTTTTGAAAAATCATATGAAAGGTTTTTAGAAAGTAAAAAATATCGTGTAAAATGAAAAAGTGACACAATGTCACTTTTTTACTTTTTTAAAAAAAGTGACAAAATTAAAAAAAAAAGTGACACTCTCAAAAATTGATACAAACTCAAAAAAGTGACACAAACTCAAAAAAGTGACGCAAACTCAAAAAATGACAAGTACCAAAATAGCACCATCTATTTGTGCAACACCAGTAATCATGTTCTTAAAATAATCAACACGTCCAAACCAATCCACATGCTGATTATGTTAAGAAAATAGAATATATTATTTCACTTTTTTTATCTTCTTAAAAAGTGACAAACTTAAAAGGTGACAAAAACCTAAAAAGAGTGACAAAATTTTATAAAGTGACACAATGTCACTTTTATAAAATTGACGAGTAACTTTAACATCCTTATATGGTAATGCATAAAATCAAGTAAGTGACAGTATGACACAATTTCATTTTTATAAAAAAATGATTTTGTTAGTTAAAAAAGTGACTAAAAATCAAAAAAGTAATAGAACATAGTGACAGACACTATAAAAAGTGACCAAAACTTAAAAAAAGTGACAGAACTTAGAAAAAGCAGTAGCTGACTAGCAATCAAGAACAGGAGGCGGAAAATGGAAAACAAATATTTCCCCCTTTAGATCCATAACATTAATTGTACAAAACATTTGCATATTCCATTGTTAGTCACAATCGAAATGTGCAGTTCATTTTCTTCGTGTTATTATGATGGATTAAACTAGTTGTACACACTTGGTGTATATTAAGTTTGACACTTCATGTGTTGTCAAAATTTATGTCATCAATTGTTTTAAGTATTGATAAAATGAATGTGTAAAAAATTGTCACCTCATAACAATGTCAAACGTAATGCCAATAAAGATGGAAAACATGATAAACTCGAAGTTCCACTAAATTATAATTTTCTTTTAGTTAAACCTAAAAAACGTCTCAATTCAAAGTTGAACACAAAACATATTATCCACCTAAATAGGCTCCAAATATATTACTGAACATCCTAGTATTCAATAACTGCAAGTGAATTAAATTCTAAGATCAATTCCAGATTATTTCATGCAGATGCTTAGAAAAAAAATGAAGATATGAGCGTAGCAGTCCCAGCAGAACGAAGCGATCTCCCTTATCATTATACAAATCAAACACTTATCATTGAGAAAACTTTGGTCGACCAGGCAGTGATCCTTCATTTCCCTGGAACTGTTCATTCAAATCTCCACTAGTCCCATTCTCGAGTTTCATTTTCATTTACAGCTTCGCTAAAAACTGTTGGAAATTAGTGGTGTTGTTTTGGCATAATTTTGTGTTGGGTTCGTTTCTCCTTTTTTAAAAGGTCAAGGTAGATTCCTGTTCTCTTCTTCGAGAACATCAAAATCATATTTGCCCAGAATAATGCTCAAACTATACATGTTGATTTACCATTATCGTGATAAAAGTTATATCGGCACAAGAAATTAAAAGCTAAGCTCCCTGTAGATTTACCATTATTCATTAAAACATTCTTACTGCAACATTTTCATTTGGATAAGAGTTTGACATTTACGGTTCAATTTTGAGATTTGAATGACAAAATTCCATATTTGATACTTGTGAGTTAATTCGAATTTCTTTTGGGTTACTGAAAGCAACACTTAACTTCTTAAACAATATTATTTAGATAAAATGCAAAAACAGTAACAGAGCAAAAAAAATAGAAATAAAAATAAATAAACTGTGAAGCATTTAAAAGTGAAATTGAAATTAAAGCTATTCACAAATTTCCAAGGAAATAGAGCTTAACCCCATGTTTGTGCTTTATGAAGAAAGTTCTCTTCATTGAAGATCCTTCAACCGAATTACTCTTCCTCTTCATAGTCGTCGGTTCAGTTTACTGCAATCTCTTTCTTCACCCATGCATCCGAGATCTGTAATGGTGTTGGCACTGTTAAATGATGGAGTAGCGTGGATCACAAAGTATTTAATAGTGATAATAAACACAACACTTTTTCAAAGATGAGTGGATTTGAGCATATTTTGAGTTAGGACTTGGTTGGGGCTGTAAATGATTTCTTTTCAATAGTTTTCACGTATAAATTACGATTAATACGGATGTCAGTGAATAAATTAGTAATTTAGGGTATGAATCAATTCTCTTGATTTTGGGCCGTAGCCTAATTTCCTTAACTTACAATAGGGTTTGCGTTGGTCGAAATCAAACAGCCCAGCTAACAATGCAAAAGCCCAAAATGCGAGAGATGGGTAGACAACACCATAAGAAAGTAAGGCACCGTTTGGTAACCATTATTCTAGAAAAAATGTATTCTTTATGTCAAATCACACCTTTTTTGTGGTTGAAAATGAAGGAAAAGTTATTGATGTGATGGAAAATATTATTTTATTGATGAATGTGTGGTTGAAAATTAGTAGAAGAATGAGAATGAAAAAAAGAATGGATACCAAACAGAGGCTTTTTCAGAGATGAGCGGATTGGAGCATATTTTGAGTTAGGGCTTGTGGTGGCTGTAAATGATTTCTTTTCAATAGTTTTAACGTAGAAATTACGATTAATACGGATGTCAATGAATAATTAGTAATTTAGGGTATTGATCAATTCCCTTGATTTTGGGCCGTACTTAGCCTAATTTCCTCAACTTACAATAGGGTTTGCGTTGGTCGAAATCAAACAGCCCAGCTAACAATGCAAAAGCCCAAAACGCGAGATGGGTAGACAACACCGTAAGAAAGTAAGACGCGCTTCTCCGGCGAGTCTTTTCTTACGTCCGCTTCCCTTCCTTGATAAATTCTTCAATTCTACAAATTGCGCTTACAGATCGCTTTCTGGTACATTCTATATAGACATAGATGTATCAGTATACATATACGAATCGTACAACTTGGTCTTCGATCACTCCGGTATTCACCGGGGGGGCCTTTTTAAACCGATAATTGAAGGATTTTTATCCCCTTTTTTTTTCTGTTTAATGTTGTTTTCTATTTAATAATTTAATTAGTGCTGGACGATGACGAGTTTATTTGGTAAAATTCGGAATCTCGACGCGTACCCTAAGATAAATGAGGATTTCTACAGCAGAACCCTTTCTGGAGGTGTCATAACTATCGCTTCCTCCATAGTCATGCTCCTTCTCTTCATTTCCGAGCTCAGTACGTATCTATGTGTGTGTATTCGTGGGATTGTGTTTTGGGGTGATGGGTGTATGCGTATATAAGTAGTTACGTATTGAGATTTGCGTTTTGATTGTTTATGATACTTCATTTGGATCTGAAATGGGTTTTGTTGTTCTATGTTATAATGCTTATATTTTAAATGTTTACGTGTATTTGAAAATTGATAGATTTTTAATGGAATTGGTGTAATGGAGTCTGTACCGTGCCATTTTGCTAACAATTGCTATTGTTCTATGCTTTAGATGGAAATGGGTAAACTGTCAGTGTTTGATTTTGTACATGTAGATATAGTAGACTGTAAGTGTAATTTTTTGTGGAAATTCGTTGGGGTTACGCATGTCAATGTTATAGTTTTATTGAAAATTAAAATGACATGAGAGTTGAGATTTGAGAGCAGAAAGATATATGGAACTCGGTTTGTTACTGGTTGTGTAATAAAGACATATTGGTTAGAAGTTGAAATGTGGGAGCAATATTTGTCGGAGTCTAGAATTTGGATCCTTTGAGCAGGTATTTGTGGACGGGTTCATCTTTTTGGCAACATCAGAGGCTGATTTTTGGGGGAACAAATGGGGCATGAGTTTTTACATCTAAAGTTTAAGTGCATATCACTTTTAGAAAAAGAAGTCCATAACTCTGTTTCTTCAAAGTAGTTCATTGGAAAATTAGTTGTGCTTTCTCTCCCTCCATACAGAAGTTGCTGAGATTCTACGAAGGCCCGCAATTATACCTCAACTGGTTTTGTCCCTTCTGAACAGCAATCTTGGATCTTCCGATAGGCTGATATTGTGATTATTGACTTGATATTTCATTAGAGTTCATTTTTTTATATGTTACATATTGGTAGCTTAATTCTAATATGTGAATGAGATATTTCTATTGATGGTGAATAAAAATGTAAAGAAACAATGGACAATTAATTGTGCCGCAAGAGTACGTAATTTAAGGCTATTTGGTGCAATAACTCATGAAAGTACTATGTTTTTCAGTGGATGTTTGTCGGATTATTTGAGCTCTGTCAAACATGTTTACAACTACTGATACCTTTTAGTTGAATCAATTGGTGACTTCATTAATTCATGTTTTGGGCTCATAGAGTTTCTATTGGAGACTTGGTAGTTATTGGAAAATTATTTAAGATCTCTTTTGCATCTCCGAACTGTTTGAGAGGTACTGTTCATTAAACAGTTTATAAGATTAGAGTAATATCTCGAGTACAAAAATAGACACACACTTATTGGTCAGTAAACTATATTTTGATTAGTGTTGCAAGGTAAACTATATTTTCATGAATTTTATGCAAAATTGATTTAAGAGCTCTGGTAGGATAATAGTGGCGTGTAAAAATGATGACGGTAAGGACGGAAAATTATTGCGTCAAAATGTTCTTTGCAAGGAAGATTAATTATTTAGAGAACAAATAAAACAAGGAAAGAAGATTAGCACTTGTTCTTGGTGCTGACAAACAGTCTTCAAGAATACAGAATCATGACTTTTGTAATTCTGAAGGTTCAGTTGGTAGGGTTAAAATGAATAGATCATTGGACTTGATGATTGAATGTGTTAGGAACCAGAAGAAGCCGTTCTCAACATGTGGAAAACAGTTTTAAGGTTATGATAATTGAAGAAAGAATATGGTACAATGAAACTATGAACCACACCCATAACCCCCAGTGGACTACATTTACATCAGGAATTTCACTCCTTCACTTAGATAGGCTTCAAAAGCGTTGGTGGCCATTATTTACCAAAAATAATGTTTTGAATAGTGAATTGTTGGAGAATGTGTGATTAAAAATTAGGGAAAAGTTTTGGGTTTACGTGGATAATAATTGTATGAATGTGTGATTGAAAATGAGTATGTGGAAAAAATAGTTTTAATTTAAAGGCTATCAAACAGGGGCTAAATTTTTTTGCTGAACTATGAAAGAAATTAAACTCAAACACTGGTGGAAGAGATTAAGAGAAGGAATCACTCACCAATGCCATGTACACCCTACAGTACTTTGGGAAAATGAAATGTCATTTAGCCCCATTTTGGTGGCCATTTTTTTGAAAAAACATTATTTTGAATAGTAAATTTTTGGAGAATGTATGGTTAAAAAGTAAATAAAATTTTGGGTATACGTGTAGAATATTTTATTGTGTGAATGTGTAGTTGAAAATGAGTATGTAGAAAAAAGAGTTTTGAAAAAATGGTTGACAAACATGGGCTTAATGACTTGGAGGAAATTGTGAAAATTTCTTTTCTTTTTCAAAAAACAACTATGGTCCTCTGTATGATTTTTAGTCTTTTAGCTTATTTGAGCATGAAATTCATCAAGAGAGTTACGTCTTTTTACATTGAGCTGCAATGCCTCGTGTTACGATTGAAATTTTGTTGGTTTCTCTTCTCTCCGTATTCTTAGCCTTTGGTAATTTCACTCAATTTTGCAGGACTGTATCTTCATGCTGTATCTGAGACAAAGTTAGTGGTAGACACATCAAGAGGAGAAAGACTCCGCATCAATGTAGAATCCATTTCTTGTAATTACAATTTTTTGATATCACATTGCTGAAAAATATTGTATTCTAAGCCTTGTTTGGTAGAGATTAAAGTCTAATTTTTAGTAGATTTTGATAAAAGTAGATGAAATGTGCGGTTGAAAAGTTGTGGGTCCCATGAAATTTTTTGTTAAAATTAATTGTTGACTTTGACTTGAGATTTGAATTGGATTTTAATCCAAACCAAACAAGGAAAATTCAGCAACCTCTCCTTTTTGTTACTCTACTGTCGTTAAGTACTATATGTGAGACATTTCGTTTTTAATTCCCTTTCAGGAAAGGAGGAGGGCGGAGCACTCATTAGCTACCAATTATTAGAACTATATACTTCCTCTTTGGCGAATTTATGGCGTTGAATTTATATTTCTTTGAAATAAATCTCAGTGAAGTCGTAATTAAAATATATAGCTTGGTCTATATTTAATTTAATTAAAAAACAATTATTGGGCTGTAAATGAAGTCAAGCCTCTCGCAGAGAACAAAAGCTTGTATCACGTGCTTAAGCTTATAGCTTTTTTCTAGATAAATTAGATGCAGCTCAATAGCTGAAGGCATCAGATAGTCTACATTCAAGTTCTACTTAGGTTTGGCTTGGTAAAAGCTTGTTCAAATATTGGCTTAAAGCAAGTAAAAAACTTGAGTTTTCCTACGTTTAACTTGTTATATTAGTCCGAGATTGAGCAATGCAATAGCGAAACTCAAGCCAACTCATCCAAATCATTCAGTCATATTATTCTCTTTTATATTCATCTCGTTTTTCTATTGTTTGTTTGTTTCCACTAGATTGATAATGTTTACTCTTCTTTTTTGACATTGCAGTTTGATGTGACTTTTCCAGCACTTCCATGCTCCATACTCAGTCTCGATGCCATGGATATAAGTGGAGAGCAGCATCTTGATGTTGTATGTACTTGAGGAGAATATGACTTTCAACTACTCTGTAGTTAGAGTTCTTTATTCATCTATTGGACTTTCTGTATTTATGTGAATGTTTAAGCAAACACATGCTTGTATACACGTTGTGTGTGTTTTGAGTGAATATTCTGGTGAAAACACACGAGTGTTTAAGTACATCTCTGTTCTTTTCAAACCCCCTCCAGTTTGCTTGACATATAGATCATTTTTCTTAAAATATTAAATGTGATTCAACATATCATATAATTTTTTCGGGAAGCTAATAGTGGATTCCCTTCTTGCCATCTTGCTTTTGAGTATTTGACGCTTAGGAGTTAGAAAATAATGCTGATGGCCAAAATATATGGATAAGGCAAGGAATCATCGAATTTAAGAGATTGTTTAAATGGTGGTTTTTTCCAGAGAGTCGCCAACTCTGTTGCTTTTGGTTATCTGGTTGTCGAAGTGACGTTAATTACATTTACTCCTGCAGAGACATGACATCATTAAGAAAAGGATCGATGCTCATGGTAATGTAATAGAGACAAGGCAGGATGGTATTGGTCATCCCAAGGTAAGTCACTCGATAAACCTTGTAGCGAATATTTACGGATGCTGATTTTTTTTCATTATTTAGCAGTTATTTTCGCACAAGAGGATTTTTCATCCTGTGCTACTCAATATCTTGTTACTCAGCATCAGGAATGTTAATGTCAGTAATATGATTTGACAGAACTTTTTAGGCAGCTACAGATGTGCAAGTCATGCAAAAAAGTTGATCTTCATGTAACAAAAAATAGCCGTCTTATTCTCTTTTGCAGCTATTGTTCATAGTTGGTTTTTATTAGGTACTTAATTTATTACTGACAGATTTTTTCCTGTGTTATTTTGTAACTGCCATAGATCGAAAAGCCTTTACAAAGACATGGAGGAAGGCTTGAACACAACGAAACGTATTGTGGCTCGTGTTATGGTACAGAAGCGGTATGCTTCTCTTTGGCATTTAGTGGCGAACATTTTTATTTTTTAGATGGTGTGAAATTTATGGATCGTGATAAACGAGTAAAAGGCTGTAAAAATAATAAATAAATTATTTTCATATCTTTAGCAGTTTTATATGTGAGATGAGCCCTGTTTCTATTATAGTTTTGCATTTTGTAGTTTTCTGTGCCTGCCAATTTGACTGTTTCGCTTACTTCTCCTTCCTTCAGTTTATCTGAAGCATGCTGGTATTTAGGTTTTTTTTCATTTAAGGTCGCTGTCACTTATATTTCATACCACACTTCCCACTTTTATCTGCAGTCAGATGATGATTGTTGTAACTCCTGTGAAGAAGTTCGTGAAGCATATAGAAAGAAAGGCTGGGCAATGTCCAACCCAGATCTGATTGACCAGGTATGCTCATGTCTTGAACTTTAGCTTACCTTGTACTATAGCCCATAGGTACATTAGTCTCCTATTCAAGTAGCATTGGTTAAATAACATTGAGGGTAATATTGTTATTAGCTTTAATTTTTTTTTCTTATAAAATANAATTCAACCGAAGGTTTTACTTATAAAGGAAAACTAAAATCGTGTACACATAAAATTAAAGCAAAGTTCTGTTAACTGACCTCATCTTCGATTGGTTTCGAGAATTATAGATCAACCAAACAAACTGCAACAAGAACAACGATAGCCTTATTTTCGAGAGAGGAAAAGAGAAACTAGGGTTTAAAAGGAGAAGTATGAGAATAAAAAATAAACAAATGAAAATTCCGAACGCATACCTGAGCAAAAGGAAATCGAAAGGGATGAAAAAATGGAGAAATTACCGGTTAAGGTTTTACCAACTAGGGTTTTGGTAAATTCCCAATTCCTTCAAAATTCAAAGGCCGGTTAAAGAGGCTCTTGAGCCATGTACTTTTAAAATGGCTTATATATGCACCAATGTGCCTACATTTGATCTTTAGTGAACAAAACGTTCATACTTTTTAATTTTTTGCATTTTACCCCTATTTTTAGATTTCATTGTGGAAAATATCATTTTCATCAATTTTCATTCATTTTCTCAAAAAACTCTGTGACGTGACAAACTATGTTGCTCGGACTCGGGTATGGATATCGGGTACGGGTACGTATTTAAGTGACGGATCTTTTATTTTTTAAAATGGAAGATACGGGGACATAGCTGAAAAGAGTCCAAATTTCAGACATGGGTACGTGAGTACGTCTTTGAAAATTCAATTAATTTTTTTTCCAAAAAATTCATATGTAAAATTAATCAAAAATATTATTTGATTATTTCTATTTTATCAAGTTTTGAAAAAATATTAATTTCAAAAATGCTATTAAATTGTTTTAAAAAATTTATGTATGTTGATTTTATAATTATCCATCAATCATTTTGGCCAAAGAAAAATTATATTTAAAATTTTGTAACAACAATCATGATATTTTTTTAAATTAAAATGATCTTATCTAAATCAAAAGAACCAAAAGCATAATTAAGAAATAATAAGCATCATGTAATTTGCTCACCCAATAACGCTGTAAAATTCAAAGAAAAAGATAAATAAACCCAACCAATAAGGCCGTAAGACTGTAAATATACTTCAATCATAATGGATAAAAAAATTTTAAACAAAAAAAAAGGCAATGTTTTAAAGCCCAAAATGCCCAAAACTTAAAACAAAAAACAGGCCCAAGTCCAACACCCCTCCTTCCCTACGCGACTTCTGGCTCTGCAACAAATGGCGATTCTGGCAGCAGTTTAACAGGTTCCGCCTCTGGTCGTGTCCGGTTCAAATTTGCCGCGTCCGACCTGTATTTCTTATCCGTACCCGTGTCGTGTTGACACGGGTATGCCGACTAAAAAGAAGGGTCCGAGCATCACAATTTATGAGTTGTGCATCTGAATTTTTAATTGAAATAGTAAATTTGCTTTAATTGTAGGATTAAATTCATGTAGTTTTGATTTATATAACCTGAGTATTATTTTTAGTTAGGGATTAATGAATTAAAAATCTATTTGAGAAGTTTATTTTATTTGACCCATGAATTGAATAGATTGAGTGGTACAAAAACTCTGGGTACAGTCTAGGCCAGGTTTCAAAACTATGCTTATATTTTATTACTTTGCAACGTTTTGGATTAAATCTCCTTTCAATCTTTGCTAAAGAGTTTGTGGCAGTATATTCGGCGAGGATTGAACGACTTTCGAGATAGGTTGATGTTTGTTGTGGGGGAATGGTAATACCATCAGCTTTGGGATGATTGTGATAGGAACCTGGCTGGTTCACAGAGCAGAATAAGAAAACAGGAATGAAACTGTGTGTTTAATTGGATAAGAACTGAATTACAGAATTAAAGGAAACAATCAGCCATTCGAAATGGCTGTAACTCTCCTAATTGGATAAACCAATACTTAATATTTGCCTGCCTACCACTATGGATTGCCCCTCTATTTATAGATCATTTCTAACTACTTTTCCCCCCACTTGCCATAACAGAATTCTATTGATATATATTCTTCTCAACTCTTCCGGGCTCTTCTAGAATTGGAGGCCTATCATTACCTCGGGGTTCCAAAGACACATTGTCCTCAAGGTGGAAATAAGAGAAGTGTTGAAGGGTTGATGCCACTGGTTCCTAGGAAGCTTCATATGCGGGTAGATCTCTCCATTGTATCAATACTTGATGACCAATTCATGGTTGTAGAGCTAGACCATCTTTAGGGATCCTACTACCACCAACTATGGAAGCTAGATGTGTTGCCTCATACAAGCTATGAAGAGTATTGATTAGTTCCAGTAATATCCCATTCTTGGCAGCAGTACGACATAAGTCATTACTGGAGGTGGACCTCTGAAACTTGATAATGTGCTACATGAGAAACATCATGATGGAGGCTCCTCATCCAACAAACTGAAAAGGGATCAAACACTCTCTTGTTGAGTAGCAGTAACCAAAGAAAATCCATTCAATGCCCCTTCCTCAAGTTTTGGGGGCCTATCGATCGCTCTTATACTTCCTGCATTCGAACCTCTTCGTTGTTTCAATTCAATTTCAGCTCAAGACTCTCTCTTTGACATAGCCTTAGTTCTTTTTTTTTTTTTCAAACCTGCAGGATTTGGTAATTTTGAAGCCCCAAAAACCTCCATATTAGCAATTCCAGATTTTGAAATATCATACAACTTAACAATTCTATTTGCAAACACCCCAATCACAAGTGAAGTGAAAATTGAGTCTCCTGGTCCGAGAAAGTTTGCAGACTTTTTTAGCGGATCCATTACCATTAGTATAGTATCCATTAAAACACCATATACTGCCGCACCAACCCACAAAACTTCGGCGTGCTGACGCTGGATTGTACTCTTCTCCTTCCACCGGTGGTATAGTCGTTTCCCTAATTGGAGCAAATCGGGGATTAAAACTGGAGTAATATGATGGTTTTTAGGGCAGTATGTAGTTGTTGGGCGTTTTATCTTTATTCTATTTAGGCCCATTCCAACTTCAGCTAGCCTGATTGAAATTCTGCAATCCTTTTCTTGTTGGACCACATCCTTATCATAGCCCAAATCCTCTAGCTTCACCACCAGCTTCAACCCATCCCCAAGTTGGCCCAAACTCTGAGGCTGTATCAAAGACCAATATCGATGCATATATTGATCTTTCCTCCCCTTCTATACTTGGTAGCCCCTGAACTGATTATTGTCTTGTTCATAGGTCCCCAAGCTAGTTTGTGAGTTCTTCCTTGGGGCCCCTTAATAATGACAACGGATTCATTAGTCTGGTCACTGCGGTCTCTGGCTATACGCTTGAGGTGAATACTAAAAGTTAATCCCATAAGAAAGTCAGTGGTGATGTCCACGTTATCTTCCTCTTTTCTACCAGAATAGTTACTGACCACCAAACCCGGAATCCCCCTATTTATATTGTAATACTTGATTGGATTCTTCTCCCGCCACCGATGGTATAATCATCTCCCTTGCTGCAAATTGGCAGAACCATGGTCTAAATATTTAGTGGTCCGACGCTTGTTTTGGCTGTATGTTACTTTCTTAAACGGCGCCATTTTTGCCGAAGTCGCTGGTCGGAGAATGATAACTGCGTGGGTTTTTGGGTTGAGGAAGAGTGTCATCTCAGCTGAGGGATATGGGTGATTTGCGTGGCCTGGGTATGAATTAGATGGATTTTGAGAAGCCTGTAGTAGTAGGCTTTATTGATGGGTATGAGTTCTTGAGTGTATGGGCTGTAGTAACAGTTTTTTGGGCCAGAAATGGATTGGGCTTGCTTTAGGGACTCTTTTGAGTCTTCTTCCCTTTGGGCCAATTTCATAAACAAGCCCACATGATCTTTTATAAGGACTCCACTGTAATCTCCAACCCAATTTCTTCTCGTTTCTTCATCATCGTTATCTCAATTTCCTCCTGTTTAACCTAGATCCGCCTCTTCTCCTCCCGTCTACAAGACCAGGCGTGCAGATTACCGCCAACAAACACTGGCTTTTTCATTGGCCGACTTCGATTTTCTAATTTCTCATACTCATCCAGGTGAATCCTTACAGTTGCACTGTCTTCCGCCACTTTGGATTTTAATGGAATCTCAGAATCAGCTGTGCTTTCAGCTCGATTGATTGCTAGTTCCTTTTTTTTCTCCTCTTCTTGTCCATCTAATTTCTTCTTCATTAAATCTATTTTGCTTCCTTTATTTTGGCAGTCATTTGGTTTGAATTGGGATATCCCAGCTTCATCACTGCCTGACCTTGTTCTGCCTCCCATTTTTTTGATCATCAAGTCTAGCTCCTTCATTATTGCTGCCCTGCCCCTCTGAATATCAGGTTTCATTACTTCCCCCCTCTGCTTTATGGAATCCTGAGAAGGTCGAAATCTGTCAAGCATCAACCCTTTCAATTCATCCCATGTTCACACCGGTTGCAAATGATCCACCTCCTTAAACCAATTCCATGCTTGCCAGCCAAAACAGGTTGTGGTAGCCTCAATTTTCTCTCCCTTCGACATCTGATTTCTGGAGAAAATCTTCTCCGCCTCCGACACCCACCAATATGTATCTTCTCCATAGAAGATTGATATGTCCAGGTGGCCTTGTGCATCCAATCCTGACTCTTCTTCAATTTCCTTGCTGAATTGTGTTGCCATTCTCTTAGAATCGAGTGTTGTGACACCAATTGATAGGAACCTGGCTGGTTCACAAAAGCAGAATAAGAAAACAGGAATGAAATTGTGTATTTAATTGGATAAGAACTGAATTACAGAATTAAAGGAAATAATCAGCCATTCGAGAGGGCTGTAACTCTCCCAATTGGATAAACCAATACTCAATATTTGCCTGCCTACCACAGTGGATTGCCCCTCTATTTATAGATCATTTCTAACTACTTTTCCCCCCACTTGCCATTATAGAATTCTGTTGATATACATTCCTCTCAACTCTTCCGGGCTCTTCTAGAATTGGAGGCCTATCATGGTTTGTTATGGTTTCCGTTGTAAGTTATGAGGCTTGTCCCACATCGAAAGTATGGGCTTTGGGTGTGATTTATAACCCTTTGGGCACCCTCCCCTTGATAGCTAGCTTTTGAGGGTGAGTTTTACCCAAGAGGTTGTAACAATGGCATTAGAGCAGACACCACGTCTCCCGGTTGCAATCGAGCTGCGCGGATGGACTAGCCATGGACTAGTGCAAAGCCAGTCCGACGTGGGCGCCGGGATTGCAGAGCGTGGTGGTTTGTCATGGTTTCCATTATAAGTTATGGGGCTTGTCCCACATCGAAAGTATAGGTTTTGGAGGTGTGATTTATAACCCCTTAGGCACCCTCCCCTTGATAGCTAGCTTTTGAGGGTGAGTTCTACCCAATAGGTTGTAACAGATTGTTAGTGTGGAGATCAACCGCTTAAAGTGGGATTTCCTTCTTTGTATCGTATTGCGTTGGAGCCGTCTGCCATGGTAAATGATGTCTTAGATATTCATAATGGGAGCTCCAGTTGGAACATTGTTTTTGGCCGGGGTTTGCAAGACTGGGAATTGGATGATTATGTGATGTTTTTGACATCTTTATACGGATACATATCAGGGCAAGAGATGATGATTGTAGCAGGTGGAGATTGACACGAAATGGTATTTTTTCAGTTCGCACATATTTTAGATCTCTATTGGGACTTGAAGAGAATTCATTCCCCTGGAAGATAGTATGGAAATGTAAACTGTCCCCACGAGTGACATTTTTATTATGGAAGGTGGTCAGAGGACGGGTGTTAACGGTGGATAACCTTCGCTCAATGGGCTTTTATGTTACGGAGTGGTACTATCAGTGTTCTAAAATGCGTAATGCGTTGCGATGCGTCGAGGTCGAGAATCAAGAATCACAAGTTTAAGCGTGTCAATGCGGAGAATAGGCGTCATAATGCGTTTCGTACTTTTAATATTATTTTAATATAATAAATAGATTTTTATATTAAAAAAAAACAATTTTTTATATCATATCAAAATAAATAAAAAAATTTAGACGTCTGAATGAGCGCCTAGGCTCGCATAGGCTCGCCTGATGCTCGTCTATGCACGCATTGGCGCGCATTGAGACGCCTAGGTGCGCCTAGGCGGTCAACGAAAACGGTTCACCGCATTTTTACCCGCATTGCCCATTTTGACGCGTTTTGTATGCGCGTCGCGCCTAAGCGACGCATTTGCGCGCCTTTTAGAACATGGGGTACTATAGGTGTAAGATGGGTGGAGAGACGATTGATCACTTATTTCTTCATTGTGATGCTGCTCGTTTATTGTGGAACGATATTTTGGCGTCGCGGCATATGGATTGGGTGTTGTCGAGGCGTATGGAGGACATGTTAAAGGCATGGAGGAAAAAGTTTCGAGATAAGGATAGCAAACTTGTATGAGACCATATTCCGGGATGCATCGTTTGGTGTATGGGGAGGGAAAGAAACGGACGCTGTTTTGAAGACCAAACACGGACAGCAGAACAGTTTAGGGAATTGTTTTATTTGACATTGTAAACTTGGTTTAATGCTGTGGCTACTAGGCATATAGATGGGCGGCCTAATTTCATGTTGTTACTTTTTGATTTAAATTGATAATACACTTTCTGTGTATTATGCATTGATTAATAAAATATTTGATTACCTTTCAAAAAAAATAAAAAATAATAGTCTTGGTTTTTGGTCAATGTGAGATTTTCAGTTTGAATGTTTTCTCTAGAGTCAAATATAGTGTGCACGATTCAGTTAATGTATTTGTTTTACTGTAGTATAATTATTACTTGATGCTGCTCGTTTACTGTGGAACGATATTTTGGCGTCGCGGCATATGGATTGGGTGTTGTCGAGGCGTATGGAGGACATGTTAAAGGCATGAAGGAAAAAGTTTCGAGATAAGGATAGCAAATTTGTATGAGACTATAATCCGGGATGCATCGTTTGGTGTATGGGGAAGGAAAGAAACGGACGCTGTTTTGAAGACCAAACACGGACAGCAGAACAGTTTAGGGAATTGTTTTATTTGACATTGTAAACTTGGTTTAATACTGTGGCTACTAGGCATATAGATGGGCGGCCTAATTTCATATTGTTACTTTTTGATTTAAATTGATAATACACTTTCTGTGTATTATGCATTGATTAATAAAATATTTGATTATCTTTCAAAAAAAAATAAAAAATAATAGTCTTGGTTTTTGGTCAATGTGAGATTTTCAGTTTGAATGTTTTCTCTAGAGTCAAATATAGTGTGCACGATTCAGTTAATGTATATGTTTTACTGTAGTATAATTATTACCGAATTGATTTCTTCTATGATGTAATACATTTTTGAAATGAAGTCCTCTGGTTTTTCCTTTTATCTCTATACTTGTTACTTATGCTCTCTTCTTAGCTCCTCGACAAGTTTCCATCCTTTTATTCCTTTGATTTTCCATTGCCTATGAATATCTTCAGATATTCTTTGAACATGTGTATAGTAAATTCTTGTCATTTTTTCTGAACTTTACACTCTTTCTGATTTCCTCATCTTCAATGTTAAACCAGTGCAAAAGAGAAGGTTTTCTTCAACGGGTCAAAGAGGAAGAAGGTGAAGGGTGCAATATTTATGGATTCTTGGACGTCAATAAGGTAGCTGGCAATTTTCATTTTGCACCTGGGAAGAGTTTCCAACAGTCGAACGTGCATGTTCACGATCTGCTAGCATTTCAGAAGGACAGTTTTAATGTAAGACTTGTCCCGATGCCTTCCTTTCTGGAATAGCAACTAAGATATTTCTGTGGCACTTGTTATCAACAAACAAGATGCTTTCGTTATTCAGCTCGTGATGTTAGTTGTTGATTTAGCATCTGGTTTACCCAATGTGTGATTGTGCAACAGATAAGTCACAAGATCAACAGATTAGCATTTGGGGACTACTTTCCTGGTGTAATCAATCCTTTGGATGGGTATTTTGTCTTCTCAGTTCATGTAGTCGTTTATCTGTTGTACTTATACAGTCCTCTTCAGATTCTTTGCCAATACATATATGATGATATTCTGCATTCTTGGCACTACAATTTGCAGTGTGCTATGGTTGCAACAAACACCAAATGCTATGTATCAGTATTTTATAAAGGTTAGCAGAAATGACTATACGTCAATTTTTTGTTGCTTCAATTTTCTTCTCATTTTTTCCTTGCTGATTCATAAGTGATTTTCTTATTATGGAAAGAGGTTTATTGTGGCTTTAGGTCGCACTTCTATAACTCACTAACATTTCTTCCTTCATTATTTTCCCCTTTCCCTGACGGGAAGTGCAAGTGGAATTGTTCTTCATTGATTTGCATGTACATAGGCATGTTGAACAGTATAAGAGAAAATTTTGGCATCTTTTTGTTTCTTAGTTCTTGTTTGGATAAATTATGGTGGGATTATAATGAAAATAAGTACTGGGTCCCACGATATGTTTGGATAATAAGTGGGTGATAGTTGTGAATGTGTGGTTAATATTAATGTTTGACTTTAATGAGCTTATAATTTTATCAAACATCACTTAATATTGACCAGTGTTGCAGAGTCCACCTTACCAAATAAAAAGAAATAGTATCTTGCAGTATTCAGGAGGAAGGTTCAAGAACTTTGGACAACTGACTGGGGATACAATTATGTAGCTGGAATACCCTTAGCTCTCACCAAGAACAAACATGCATTTTGGGATAGTTTACTTCTGTGCACTTTTTCCCTTCAGACGGTGCTTGCGTATCACGTAGGATGTGGAAACAGTGCAAGCATTCACAGAAGATATGGCCTCAAGGAGCTTTTAGAGCTTGTTTTGTACCAAAAAGGTTACAAAAGTTACAGGAGTCAATGGTAGAAAATTATGGTAAAGGACAGAAATTTGGCTGTTTGGGCACTATCGTGGTGCTTAGAACATGTACCATTATTTTTTGTGATTTTGGATTGTACATTTAGCTGGGGCTAGGGTTTATATGTAGGAATGGTTGCCCATGAATGAGGATCTGAGTTCTCCTAACAACCCCATATGTGATGAACATGGACCCTGATGTTAAAGACAAAAGATTGAAATTCCTTTGAAATGGTCTGTCAAACCCAATTGGTTATTTGCAGACTTTTACTTTATACTCAACTTAAAGATGATGTATATAAAAGCATGCTGCTGGCTACTAGATTGTTAAATCTACCAGATATGAGTGGTAACTTGTGTTACCAACTCAGATAGATATGGAATAAGGCTTCATTGAGTTTAGTTTTTAAGTGGTATGCTACAGATGTGGAACTGTTGTATACATCATTATTTTGAAATGAACAAAAAGCTACATATATTTAAACTAGAAAATATCTTTGAATATCTACCAAAGATGATCATTTTCTTTTGTTTGATTGCAATTGACCATCTTTATAGATGGAAGAGTCCCAAAATTAAAATAAAGCTTGGTTTGTTGCTTCTTCATGTGGAGAGTTATACATTTAAAATAGAAAAAACTGAATTTTGTAGTCCTGTGTTTTCATTGTTCATCTTTTTCATGAATGTCTGAGTGAATCAGGATAAAACAGGATGATTTTATATATTTCCCTTGTGAATGTTTAAATATTATTCTGGATCGCAGGTGGTATCTACTGTATTCACTGATGTAAATGGGAATACCATTCAATCGAATCAGGTCTGATTAATACCATTCTCTCAATCTAGTCATTTTTCCCCTTTATAGTTCAAGTTTTATCTCTTGAACTTGACATGAGATCCATGAGCTACTGTCCTATTGCAGTTCTCTGTAACTGAACATATTAGGGGATCAGAAGTGGGTCACCTTCAATCTCTTCCAGGAGTTTTCTTCTTTTATGACCTGTCACCAATAAAGGTGGGTGTGGTTATGGGTTGAAAAATATTATGGGTCAGTTCATTAATCAGGTTTTTGTATTGTGCATAAGCTTCCAGCTTCAACTTTTCTTTTTTCATTTTCTTTTTGCTTACTATTAATTATAGGACACGTAAAATTCGTATACAAACAGATTTAGTTAATGTGATCTTTTAGGAGCAACAACGCAGCTCCTAGATATTCAGTCGCAGCATGTGTAAACTTGTGCTTATCTTTTGATGTTACAGGTGACTTTCACAGAGACGCATATATCATTCTTGCACTTCCTAACCAATGTCTGCGCCATTGTTGGAGGTAATACTCTCTCGCCCTCCCACTCTCTCAACAACAAAAGTATTCATGTCAAGGTGGAAACAAGATTCACGAATAATGCCAGAAACTCTCAAGTTTTTCTATATTTTCACGTGTGCATGCCTCAATAGTTGCTTGAGCTGTTTGATGAACTGAGACTTTTTTCCTATAAATTTGCTTACTGCATCAGGTGTTTTCACTGTTTCGGGGATAATAGACTCGTTTGTTTATCATGGTCAAAAAGCGATCAAGAAGAAAATGGAGATTGGCAAGTTTAGCTAATTATTGATTCTCCTACAATGTTCTCTCTTCGTCTCAATTCTTGCCCATAAGCAACATCTTTCTGGAAAGGGAACAAAAATTTGGATCAGAATGTCCTTGTAGTGTAGAGTGGTTTATGGACATATTAATGATTTTATTCCGATATATTTGTCAGTGAATCAACTAACCGTTATAATTCATTTGATAGCAAGCCTTTTTGAGGATTTACGAAGATATCTGTACTTGCATACTGCTGATGCCAATCCTACGAGGTGTGAAGGTCTTTTTTTCACATTTCATGGCAGAATTTTTTAATTTGTAGACAAGTTATCTTCATATTTGAATTGGAATATTTGTCCTTAAATATCTTGCCATATATTTCTTGTTACTCTTTTCGTTCAATTGCTACCTTTATATGTGCTAGATATCATTATTCTTATATGTATGCCCTTTATGCCTATGCCCTTTTTCAATCATGCTAAATGTACATTATCTTCTACATTGTATCACGTGTCAACACACTATTAGACATTTTAAAAAGTAAACAATTTTCCCTCCAATCATCTTTTCACACCGCATCAAATGTCAACGAGGATGCACACCTGTAGTGTACATCTAGCACTATTCTTTTTGTGAAAGGAGAAAACTGCAGATTAGATGATGAAACTCGTGGTTGAATGTCAACTTCCTTTGGAGTAGACATGTGAAGCGAGTTGTGAAGAGATTAGACCAGCTCGATAACATTTAAATTTATTTTTGATATTGTTTCTTAGCCCACGAAATAATTTTCATTTTTCATTTTGTTTTATGTAGCTTGTCAAGTCCTGAACGGAACACTAAAAGAATGATAAATTACACGTCACGGTACCGGCCAAGCACTTAGCCGACGGGATAAGATTCCATTTCTAAGTAATGGAATTACACTATTTCAACTATGTTAATTATTTGTCTCAGTGGAATTTCAAGTACAAAGAATTTTCTTTTAAGCTTCCATATTTGCTAGATGAGTATCAACTTTCTTGAACCAGTTCAATCCACTTCCCAAAAATAGCAATTCACTAACTTTTTAGGTACGTTCTTTTCTATGAAAAGAAAAAAGCAGAACATACTCGTAGAAATTATCTTTTGTTCCTTACGTTGGGGAGTCAATTTTACACTATGTCTGATACTCATTCTTTTAAAATACATTTTTCTCTCTTATTTTTAACTACACATTCTTCAATAAAATAATATTACACGTAAATTCAAAAAAATTTCTTATTTTTTAATCACATATTTTCACCAAAACACTATTTAAAATGCACTCTGAAAGAATAATGTGGCTCAAACAGGGTGTTAATATAAACTATCTAAAATGTATTTTGAAATAATAACGTGGCTCAAACAGGGTGTTAATATAAACTCCTCATCTTTGTTTTGTAAATTCCCTAGCCTCCTAGTCAAGGCATGGGGGTGGGTGGGGATTCATTTGAACCATTGCTCAAGTTAAGGTGAAACTTTGACACTAAACCATACCTTGTTTAGTCATTAGGAAAAATATTTTTTAAAAATTAACTTTGATTTTGGAGAAAGGGCAAAAAAATAATATGAAGAAGAAGATTCTAGTGGTGACACTTCAAAGATAATTTAGTTGAAGTCAAAAATTGGCACATGGATGTCATATTCATTGTGAGCTGTCGAAACTAATTAATAAATGCATACGCGTGGTTTGAAAGTCAAGACACGATGATATTGTAGGGGATTTCGGCTCGCCCACCAACAATTCAAATATCTAAAACCGCGTTCAATTCGTTTCTCGACTCGTACGAATTGATTCATGAGCCGGTTTATGCAATTCATTTCTCGACTCATAGATTCATGAGCCGATTTATCATCGAAAAGTGCAAATGCAATTTTCAATTAAAACACGTGCCAGGTTTTGGAAAACTAGCCAATTCACATGCGTCTTGTCCCATATGCAAGTGTCACAGATTGAATTGCAGGGTGGGTTGAGCCGAACTTGAATGTAATTTTCATTAAAAACACACATGAGCCTTGAGTGGCTTGGGAGCGGGCTCAGCTCACCCCACCAAGGACGAGTTGATTGGACCGGCTGAGCCAGTCCACTCATGGCTCGTCTTGTATGCGAACGCGAGCTAGATGGCACGGTAGGTTGAGTCGAGCTCATCCCTGTGATAAAGATGGCCTATTAATCCTCAGCACACGTGTCCAAATTTCATTCATTATAATTTTCAAAGACAGTTGGGAGTAGGTGATTAATTCGTCACTAGAAGATTTCATTTATCTTTTGCTGCAAAATCATTTAAAATAACACTATTATCTTTTCCATATTCAACTGTCCTAAGGTAAATGAACCATGCCAAGTAACATAATCTTTAACAACATATTTAGCCCCTGTTTGGCGTCAATTAAAATCATATCATATTTTTAGTAGATTATATTGCGATAAATGTAGATGAAATGTATGATTAAAAATATGTGTTTAATTAAAATTAATTATTGATTTTGACTTAAACCAAACAAGGACTTAATCCATAGAACTGAGAAAAAAAGTTTTGTCCTGGCAGTTTTTATTTATTCAAAAAATATTACCAATTAATCCATTCTGATTTTAATTTTATTAGTGCAGATTAAAAGTTAATTCCATTAAATTTTTATTTATTAGGAACTAACTGGTTGTGAGACAAAATCCATGAAGAGTAAATAAATGATTATTTGAGACAAAGCTTACATGACAACATAGGAAAATACATAAATTTCAGTGTCTTAAGCCAGCAATGTAAAAAAACCAGCTGACCAAACTGTGACTCGAAATTAATAATAAAGGCTCAGCTCTGCAATTGCCAAAAACTTAATTGCTGGAGCTGAAAACCCCCTACTACACGACAATTACATAGACATTGCTAAGCATAATTGAAGACTAATACAAGGAATTATAAAGCAGACCAATCAATTTCATATGATGGATATTTCTCCAATGAATTCATGTCCCATGGCGAATCCTCCTCTGTGAAATCCAGGACTGAAAGATCCGAGAAGGGTGATGACCCACCGGACCCGTCACTTTCAGATGTGGGTTCAACAACATTCTTGCTGGGACTTTCCTCCGCCGGAGCCGGGACGGCAGCCGATTTTTTGGATCTTCCTTTGGATTTATTGGAGTCGATGCTCTTGCCCTCCGCCAGGGTTTGGCAAATGGCCTGCAATTTGGCGTCAACGCTGGCATGGAGTGGCTTGTACTCCCCGAACTCGCCACCGATGTGGGACCCATTATGGCGGAGGTGAGGGAAGTTCAGCCTAGCAAAGTCTCCACGCAGCTTGTACGCCGCCTTGTCGTAGGCCAGCGCCGCCTCCTCTGCCGTGTCAAAGGTACCTAGCCAAAGCCGGGTTCTGTTCTTCGGCAGACGGATCTCGGCAACCCACTTACCCCAGTGGCGCTGCCTCACTCCCCTGTAAAGCTTGGTGGGTTTTGGAGGAGACCCCACTTTTTTCATCTGAACAGGCTTTGGGCCAAAGAAGCTCATGTTATGGGCCTGACTGTTAAACGAACCTGAGACCATTTGTTGCTGATTTTGGAGATTGATCCGGGCTTGGATGTCTTGGATCTGGGCTTGGGTAAGGTGATTGAGCCCAATTGAACAAGGCTGTTGATCCAATCCAAACACAAAATTCTCACCTGCCAAGTTCAAATTGGGCTGGAAATTTGACTCTGCTGGGTAATAGCAAGAATTGTAGGGATAAGAATTGGAGGTAGAAGGAGAAGAAAGGGAGGAAGAAGAAAGAGAATTAGAAGGGAGATTGGAAGGGGGAGAAATAGGAGTGGAGGAAGCACTTTTCATAAAAGGTACAAGTGCTTCCATTAATTCACCACCCCTAAAGGGATCTACAACTGAGTTGGTGCTGCTGCTACTCCAAAATTCCATTGCAGCTGCCATGCTAAACCTGAAAAATATGTTCTAAAAAGGGAAATTTACCTGTTTCTTAATAAAATCAAAGAACAGGTGGTGAAAAAAATTTAACAAAAAGTAAATTGGAGGAGGAAAAGAGGTTTACAAATAAACAACCTCTTAGATCCTGTGATTGGCTAATTAAAAAGCAGCCAAGAAATTAAAATTAAAAATAAAATACAGATCTCGATCTGAAAACACCTGGCTTTCTAAAAATCCAGTTCTTTAAGTTTGCTTTTTGTTCATGAAAATTGACCAAATCAGTAAAACAAACCAGAAAGAAAACTTGAAAGACAGATTGTTTGCAGAAAGGGATCAAAGAAGCGGGGTTAATCAGAGGGGGGGAAGAAGAAAGAAAACTTTTGTTGAAATCAAATTGAAGAAACGAAACTACTCTCAGAAATCTTGATTTTAGTATGTGCAGTGTGTGTGCTGGGTGAGAAGAAAACCTCACTTTTTTTTTTGTGATGTTCATGACTTCACCTGCCCCCTTATATAGTGGTTCCAGCCCAGAAATCTCTCTCCTAAAACACGGTTTACACTCACAACCCACCTTGAAATTCACGACTTTCTCACTCTCTGTGGTTGGTCTTGTCTGGCGTCAGCATTTAACCAATGAGAATAAGAATAGTGACTTTACCGGCACATCACGCCGAATGATTCCTTTGTACGTTTGTTGACTGTGTTTAGCGTTCACACACGGTTGTCTCTTACAAATTTATTTATTTCACCGTAATTTTCAAAATTCTCAACCTCTAATTTATTTATTTATTTTTAGAACTTTACTACTTGTACATAATACATTATATATATAATACATTTAAGTAATATGATGTAAAATAAAAGATTTTGATAAAAAAATTGATTGTATTTTAAACTGACAAATAATAGAATATCAAATGACATTACATAAATTTTAATGTAGCAAGATTCTATCTTTTATTTATTATAGTGAAGGGTTCAAGTCTAAATTTGATAATCGATGTGATTTTTTTTAAAAAAAACTATTTGTTAGGATAAAACGCTAATTTTCAACTTATTTTACTATTCATTTCAGCCCCTCTTTGACATCCAATGCAATGAGTTTTTTGGGGAAAATAAATATTGAATATTGATTTTTTAAAAAAAGATGTGTGATTAAAAAATATGAATTTTTTTTTAGATCTATATACAAAATATTTTATTACTGAATAATGGTTGAAAATGAATATGAAGAAAAAAATTGATTTAATAAATGTCAAACGATGGCTCAATTCAATTCAAATATTTAGTCTATATGTTTGTCTCCATTTAAAACATAACTTTTTAATTCTCATACTCATTTTCAATCACACATTTATATATATATGCACATAAATCCAAATATTTTCTCTACTTTCCACCACACATTTTTCAAAAAATCACTATTCAACATTTTTTTATCGAAATAATTATACCAAATCACGTGACAATGTCGTGCGCCAGTAAGGCCAACTTCTTGTGGACGTCCAATTAATTATTTATTAGTGAAATGATTAAGAGTATAATACAATATCTAAAGCCGGAGTGTGATGTATATGCATCATATAAGAATAATATTTCGCAGTATGATTGAAGTTTATAACACAAAAGTTGATATTTTTATTGAAGTCAAATGTAGAATATGATATCTTAACTTCTGTCATCAACCTAATGAGAAGAAATAATTGGGATTGATTGAGATTTAAATTAGAGATTAAGCACGTAATGCTCATAATCTAGACGTGAATGGAACCCTCGCGATGATAAGTGACATTTATAATTTTTTTTAAAAGTGAATTTTGAGTTATTGTGCCGGATAAGACATTTATTTTTTGAGTTATTGTGCTGGATAAGACATTTATTTTATAATTTGGGTTTCGTTATAAAGAAAATTAATATCGTTTCACTTTTATTCGATTACACCGAGTTCAGTATTACACCCCTGTTTGGTAGAGATTAAAAATAGATTTTTAGTAGATTTTGATAAAAATTGATGAAACGTGTGGTTAATATTAATTGTTGATTTTGACTTGATATTTTAATTGAGTCCCCGTTTGGTACACATTTTTGGAAAAATAATGCATTTTTACTGTTGATGTGATGTGGAATATATAGTTGAAAAAGAATTAAAAGTTATTGGTGTGATAATAAAATATTATTTTATTGAAAATGTGTGGTTAAAAATAAGTAGAAAAATGAGAATGAAAAAAATAATGTAGCTCAAACAGTACCTGAATTTTAATCCAAATCAAATCGGGGATAAACGTATTGAAAGACTTAAAGCACTTAGAGACTGTTTTTTTTATTGTTTTCAGGTCATTTTCAAATTTCAATTTTCGAAAACACTAAAAACACGTTTACTTATCTATTTTTATAAACGAATTTTCAAAAACGAGTTTAAAATTTACAAAAAAAATCGTTTTCGCTGTTTTCAGTTAAAATCAAGCCAAAACTTCATCTTTTTTTTTTTAAAACAATTTTTCAAAATGTCAAAAAAGATAACTCCGCCATATTTTTGTGACATATAGAAAAATATGTGACCTGTTAATATTGATCTGTGACCCGTTTATATTGATTTGTGACCTATAAAAAATGATTATGACTTGTGAACTCAAACCCGTGACAATGATATGTGACCTTAACGACGAATTAATCAGCCATAGTTTTATACAATATGGTCATAACTATCAAATTAATTGATCGTATTGATCCATGATCCGTCTACATTGATTTGTGGCCTATACACAATGACTGTAACTTGTGAACTCAAACATGTGACCGGTGAACTGTGACCTTAGCAACTCATTTATTCATTGCAAATCAATTACAATTTATTAAATTATTGATCACAACTTATTTTATGATCACGAATCAAGAATTTTATAGATGTTTCTCGATCACGAATAGAAAATTTTATAAGTCACAAAATAGTCATCGATCACAAAATCAAAATTTTTATTGGTCACAACTCGATTACACCTTAATAAATTGTGAATCACAATAACAATTTTTAGGTCACGTATTATACATAGATGACGAATCGAAAATTTTATTAGTCACAACTCATTTATTTTATTGGTGGACATTCTCAAATTAATTGGTCATACGTTATTTTTGTCACAAACCACATTTTATAGGTCACAACTTATTAAAATAATAGATCAATTATTATTTTTATATCACAAGTCACGGTGTATTTTAAGGTCATAATTAACTATTTTATTGGTCACAAAAATTGTACATCACCACTTCACCACCACCGTCTCACATACCCTATGTCGCCGCCGCAACCACAACAAGCAACTCACTACAACCACTATCACTAACGTCACCAACACAGTCACCATAAGTGTCACTGTCGCCGCCAATCCCCACCTCCACCAACTGCAACCGCACAAAACAACCACCACCAATCCGCAGCGCCCGAACCACCACAAACACCACGGTGCCGCACGCACGCAACTGCCACCACCACCAACGACAAAAAACAGAAAACCCCCCAGTGCCAACACCAACTCCACTCCGACACCCACCGCACGCACACATCGCTCGATTCGCAGCCAACACCACGGTGCCGCACGCAAAACCGCCAACCGCACCCACAGACACTAACCTCCAACCAACCGCACGCCAGAACAACAGTCCCCATCCACCCAGGGGCGGAGCCAGGAAATATTTTAGGTTGGGCTGAAATTTTTTTTTTCAATGGAACTTATACACTAAAAGATGTTTTAAACCACATGATAAAACAAAAATTGGACAAAAAATCGGGCAAAATCATGCACAGCTAACTCATTATGACAAAACTGTTCAAAATCCACTGAACCGGCCGGTTCAACCGTAAATCGATGAACTAGTCGCAGTTTGGAGGATATCCTGATTTTTTTTTCTTTTTTTAGTTTAAAAAAGTTTAACTTCATGAATGGAACTCATAGATTACAATTCAAAGACCCATA